CAACAGGATTCCAGACCGGGTCGTGAGAATCTTGTTGGCATGTTACTCCTCCAGACAAGGGTGCCAGTAGCCGTGGCTCAGTAAATGTAAGTAATGCAGTCAAAATTAGTGGCAAACACAGGTGTTCTATCGACATGATTTAGGAAAATGCCTTTAGAGAAAGCAAGGCTATACGTAATTAAATGGAAAATTAAGGTCTACTCGACTCATTGTAGAAAAATTCAACTACTGGTCCCGTTATTACCTTAAACTAAAAAGGGTGAATATACCACACATATGATCAACCAGTAGTAGAAAACCTACTTATAAAAAAATGCATGGTTTGCCTTATAACCCACTGGCATCCGTGACTATCTTGCACAGTGTTGACGTGTTGCCCTGAGGCAGACGACCCGAGTTAGAATCAATTTAATCATGGAGATGAGGCCTAATCCAGGGCGAAACCGCAGTCTACTCTTGGAGAGAAAACCGTTATGGAGGCAAATATAAATGGGATTTAATGGCCTCGAGGCTGGACAAATTCCCCAATCAAGCCCCTATATACTCTTAAACGATCTAGGGTGACTAATTATTTTTATCATTCATTTTTAAGAATGTATCGTGTATGCATGACAAATGGGGCGGCAATGCAGCTGAATCTTTTAGGTCCAATCTACGATACTTATTTAAGCGATGCATCACCGCGCCACACCTAGTTGCCCAGCCCTCCAAGAACCAGGACCAAAATGCTAGTGATCCAACTGATCCACTGCCAAGCGCTACTGATCGGAAGGCACGCAGTCCCAATCTCATTTTTAATGTTGGCAAACCTTCGCTTTGTTTGAAAAGGCGAGGGAGGGGTTCATAAATTGACCCATTTGATGCCAGAGGGTACCCTTGGACTTGACTGTTTGATTGTGCTAAGAGCTCGGCTCACCGTACTGCGACCCCAACGAATCCAAGATTAACTTTCTTGGTTTAGAGATTATTAGATAATAATTCGCAAACGATAACTTCTGGTTATGATGATGTACATCACACATTGAATGAAGGCTTAGCACAGATCCATAGGGGTCACAGGACGGTATTCGCACAACCAAATAGTCAAGTCCAAAGCAACCCTCCTTTAGTATCCGAGGGGGCCAATTTATGAATCCCTTTCACACACCTATTAAGACGAAATGGAAGGCATGCCAGCATCAATCTGCTAAGGGAATCTTCGGAACCCAGCTTCTCTCCATATCGAAGTATAGAGGATTCAAGTTAAAGCATGCTAACGGTCCTTCATTGCCTTAAATGAAATAGGGTGAATACATCTCATAAAAAAGATCTTCACTTTTTTCTCTTATCCCGAAGACAGAGATTAGTTTCAATCGCTAAGGAAATCCTAATTTTTATTTGTTGACAGATTGATTAACATTTTGTATGGCTCTATGTTAGTGCCTTATATTTCTTTCAGAATTCGAAAGAAGGATGGTCTATCAGAACTTGTCAAATAGATCAGCAAACAACTATATGGCGGTTTTTAAGTACCCCATATTTCGTTAGATGAGGCAAATGGAAAATTCATTGATTGGATTCACCGAAACCCGAAGTAGGAACGCCTTGGAGGTGTAAGTTAAAATTTGTCCAAACAAATTCTCGAAGCACCATTTTACAACATTAATAAACCCGTGCTGAGCCTTCATCTATCAGAGCAGGAAACAATGCTTTACGAAGAATAATCAAGAATTAGCCCAAAATAGGTACTCGGTTGCAATCCTACCTACTTCTTATATTCTTACCGGGTAAATTTGGTTTTTAGGTAGAAATACCAAGATGACGAAGCCTTTTATTTACTCGCAGTCTCTTTAGCTTTATAGTGTTGGTTTTATCTCGCCTAAGCGACTTGTTTGGAGCGACAGGGAGGCCTTGTGAAACGGGCCTAGTATTCAAGATTTCCAGCATCGGAACGTTGACTTGGTACATTCCGAGACGTTTCGCCGGCATTGTCAGCGTGAGGCGCCATACTTATCAGTGACAAGTGAAGACAATCCTCTTGAAAAATTTTCTGTTTAGCCCTCGTGGCATTACTCCTCGCCCCTATTTTTTGTCCTACCTTCTAGTGTTGAATCTTCCTCCCAGTCACACTTACCTATTCACAATATTATGTGTTCTTTTTTCCTGAAATGTTGCCTACGAGCGTGTTGCTTCGAATGGGTTTAGTGAAGAATGATCACTTTCAGCAACGTTTTAAGACGCCGTTTGTAGGGCTTCTGACCTTTATTGAGCCCCTTCCACCTCACTTATCAACTGCTCCCTGCTACAGACGAAAATCACTGTCTGGCTATCCGAAATCTGGTTTCCTATGAGCCTTCAGTTCCGCTTTCCGCTTGCATCATATTCGAGGATTTAAAGTCTGTGATTTTTATGCCTAGGCATCTTTCTCTCCTTAGGCTCCATACCCATGTTTTGTTTTGGTCGGCTATTCTATGCTATTCCAACATGCTTGCAGAAAAATGAATAAAAGCGGTTGTGACCGAACAGCTGCATTCTCATCCAAATCAATTTTGTTTTTGATCTTGAAATTTATGCACGTATGCTGTGTGCATACAATACTCATGTTTGTTAGATGTAAGAGTCCTAACCAGATTCGGGGGTAATCAAGCTTCAACCTCTTGTTTTGTAATGATTCTTATTCCCTCTCTCAATATTATCTAACAGCCACGAGTAGTATATGCAAATTTTCCTACACTCATTCTTCCCGTTCAAAGTTTAGGTCGTTTTGTTGAGTTTCACAGAGTCCCTAGTCTCCCATATCCTACATTTATGAATACTATAAGTAATAATGGAACTATAGGTAATTAACAAAGAACCATTTATTTTTGCAATAATATATCTACAAATATTCTAGTCTAGCAAAACGTGTAATTATTTTAATGATGCAAATCTATTCGAATTTGTCAGAGCTTCTGTGAGATCGCGTAGTCGGACACATATTTCATTTACGGGAAAAATTTCTAGCAGATCACGTATTGGGATACCTTCCTAAAAAGATCAGATAGCGTGAAATAATAAGTTCTAAAAATAGATATAATCGCATATAAATCATATTCATAATACGATAATTGTTAAGACAAAGCAAGCATCTCTCAATTCACACCATTTTGTGAAGAATATTGTATCGCAGAGCAGACGAGCGTGATATTAAATCCGAACTCTTAAGGTTCAAAGCCAGGTGGGGATATTGATGAGACATAGGCGAGGTCAGAACTATAGTCAACCCTCGACAAAGATGCCTTTTAGAAATAAAATACAATAAATAAATCATGCTTTCCCTTCAATTCATTATGGACGGAATCTTTATCAATGCAATACAGAGACGAAACTTGTATACCTCTACGACATTAAGGCTCTTGAGGACTATGAAGAAAATTGAGATATTCATTGGCGATTAAATCATCGTCGTTGAATGTTTTATCCCAAAATACTAGTGAAGTAGTTGAGGAGCTAGCCTAATTATCTTAAATCTTATGGAATCTTATTTATAATCAGTTTTCTGTAAAAAAAAAGATTAAAAATATATGTAAATCGAGATTCTTAAGCGTCCTGAAAATGTAAAAGCTTTAGAGCTTAGCTTACTAATCTGCCTGAAATGGCTAAGCGGACAAGATGCATTGCTCTTTCCGGTGGAAAATTGCACTTGCGAGCAAGTATTTTGAGTCGAGTAACACTCAAAGGTTCCAGAATATCCAGGTCCTTGCAGGAGAGATTTAAGTTTTCAGAAGACTTATTATTCAAAGATAAGGATGAATTCGTTATTTCACGCGCCAAAGTCTCTAGAAATAGGGCAGCTTGTATTCTTTCTGAGTCACGCGAGAGAAGCAAATCATTTAGGTAAGAAGACAAAGCTGAAGTGGTTGATAAGTTGGTAATCCAGATAGGTCGGAGCCAAAGGAAACGGAGACCTGATTTGACATCAAGTAGATCGCTAAGTTTGGTAACACGACCTGACAGATGTACGAGAAGCCTAGCAAGACCGAGATCACTGAATTGATCTTCTGAAGCAAGGAGATTGCTGAAAAATATAGGTAGGAAAATGAATGATGATATTTGGACATTTCGGCAAAATGTCCATCAGGAAATGTTGAAAGGTGTTATGACAAATTAAAATTGATGAACTACGAAAATCAAGATAGTGGATAATTATACAGCCTATTTAACTTCCCTCTTCATGCTAAATATCTATATTTCACAGAGGAAAATTAAAATCGATAAAGTTCTCTTTTAAATCCCCACTCCTCCCATAGAGGATAGTCTATATGCTCTCATAAACGTCATATGACCCGCAAAGTAAAGTATAGCTGTAGCAATACTTAAATTAAACGTAGTATAAGGACAACAAATTAAGATAAAGAATATACAGTTGAATAGATACATTTTAATAACTACTGTTAAAAATAGCAATTACAAAACAGTCCTGTACATCTGGTATCAATAGAGATCATTGACAAACAGATATGATATATATATATATATCTCTACCCCCATTGCTGGGATCAGATCCATAATACATAAGACAGAGTACTCGATGTATAGCTGATAAGTAAAATAAAAGATTAAATAATGTATTCAAGAATCCGCATGCCTATGTATTAGTAATCTATACGTTGTTAGTATGTAGATAAATGATGGAGGACAGTAGGAAATGCACAACCAAGACAGTGTGATACGCACATTAGCTATGCGGAAAAGCCCGATGAAGAGCCAGTCTGGTTATCTGGCTAAATAAAGATAACAACGCTGTGACTGGGAGGAATCCTGGTCCTTAGAAAGCCAAGAGACTTTCTGCTGGCGGCCTAATGAGACAATGTGTTTTAGAATCGTGGAGAGGTGAAGCGCCAAAGGAGCAATTTTAAAATGAATAGACGAAAATGTCTGCATAAAAACATAAGATTTTATGTAAAAAAACTAGGTTTCGAAGAATCCCTTTAACAAATTCATGGAGTACTTTTAATTTCGCTTGAAGAGGCGAATGGAAGGAATTCGTAAGTTGACTTCATCGGAGGCTGTAAGATTGCCTTGGAGCTGTGATTGTAGATAGATTGGATGTCCCACCAAATCAAGAAATTTCTGACTAAGTGAACCTAGCTAGCCCATAAAAAATAGGCAGAATTGCAGCCGGCCACTTCTTATCTTTGTGCTTGGTGAATTATCGTAAAGCATGGTGTCCTGCTCTGACGATGCTCGTCACATGACGGATGAAAGAGCAGCAAGGATTAATCGGGGTTGCAGGGCGGGGTGAAGAGTACCTATTTCCACCAATATACAATCACAGCTCCCGTTGAGGCCAACTTAAAAATCCCTTCCAATCGTACCAACGAAATGAAAGTTATACCGAATAAATGATCTTATCCTTGTCATATTTGTTTAAATTCCGCTTATCACCTGTCTTTGGAATGGATTCGAATGGCTAAGTTCTTAAGCTTTTTAGCGCGAAATCTCCTGAACCATCAGCGCCATATTTCTCAACTTAAGAAAATCTCTTTTATCTAAATTTCTCAAAACTAAAGCATTTATGCCGACCTCACAAGATTGGCGAATTTGTATAAAAATTTCAGCTAGCTTGAATTTTGTTGAAAGTAAATTCAATTTCCAAATTTATCTACCAGTTTCTTATCCAAGCAATCATTCAGGAAACCATGGCAAAAGTAATCTACATGACGTAGAACATAACCAGATGCCCTCATAACTACTTCCACCCGGCCTTATTGAAGACGTGTTAATAATAATCTTATTGTGACTATGGTTTCCGCCTAGTCATTCAGTCCAAGAAACGGCCATATGTATGAAAAATGTTTACTAAGTCTATTTCGAACAGTTATTATAGCACCTGCTTTAATACACAAGTAAATAAATCGCACTTTACAATTTCAAATTTTAGGAAGACATGGATCTATACTATTTGACACACAAGAATTTTAAAAAATATAGGTGGTCAGTGGGGCAAAACTAGATGCAACTATTCAAGGCTCACCTAAATTGGGAAGACAAATAATGATAATTGAACAGAAAAAACCTGATATTTTGAATAAACCCATAAGTCAGTAAAGACTAAATTAAATTTAAGCAGATAAATGCCGAAAATCGAGTGGATAACTAAAAAAATACCTAAGTTGGCCAGTTTGCTCCTTTAGCCTAGATTTCAAGTAGTCTCTAACGGTCTTGCAAAGCTCAGGCGAGTTGTAAGACACTACCTCCGATGGTAGTGTTAAAGCAGCTTCAGCTGCCTGCTGACTCCTGTTGAGACTCCTTGAAGTGGATGGAGCTTGCAGATAGTCAATTTGCGAACAGCAGTAGCTCAGGGCTGCGGAAGCTAAGAAGTCAAAATGCCGACGGCCACATAATCTC